GGAGGAAGAGGAGGAGGAGGAGGAGGAGGTGGTGGTCTGGGTTTGTAATCAGACAGAGTCTCTGTGGTCCTGGTCCGTCCGGCTCTCAGCACCACTTCACCTGAACCCAGAACATGCTGAACGCTGCGTGTTTAACCTGACCCTGGCTGGGATTTAAAACACTTTTACAAACTTTTACCTGCCTAATGAACAAACAAACGAACAAACAAACGAACTGATTTATACAACACGAACGTTCCTGTTTGGATAAAAGTTTGACTTTTATATTAAAGTTTGTTCTGGTTTTAAACTCTTAGAGAAATAAAAACATTAGAATCACAGCTGTCACTGCTCGTCATGTTAAACTTTGTGTTTTCAGACAGTTTGAAAGAAGCTGCTCCTGAACAGAGCAGGTGGATCCTGATTGTCTGATGTCAGTCACCTGCAGCTCCTCAAACACACCTCACCGCAGAGCCCTGCGGTCTGAACCGGTCCAGGTAAAACCCGGATCCCAGAAACATCTCAGTTCTTTATGTTAACCGTGAAAACCAGGAGCGCTCTGCGTGGTTTTTCACATCAGGAAATGAAAACGAGGTTAAATATTGTCGTTTGGCCTGCTGGGACCGAGGCTGATGCTCGTGGCAGACGGCGGGTCTTAAAGCTGCTCGCAGGTGCTGAGTCAGCAGAAACCACCTGTCAGACTGAGACCTGCAGACCTTCATCCTGAGCTCATCATCGTCATCACAGGAAGTGATCCTGCACAGATGTTTATGTTCAGACCTGAACTTCCTGCAGACCGAGCCATGAGGTCCACCTCATGGCTCGGTCTGCGGGTGGGGGTGGTGGGGGTGGGGGGTGTCAAAGGTCAGGGCAGGATTATTAGAAAAAGACTGAACTAATATGCTACAAACACTGGACTGGACCTGTAGGGGGCCCAGAAAGTCCAGCTTATTTGTGATTCTGGTATTTGAGCGAGGCGGGAGTCCGGAGCTGAACGCTGGCTCCGGGGGGGTCTGGAGCTGAACGCTGGCTCCGGGGGGGTCTGATGGTGAAAACAGGGCGTTCAGCTGATTTACATGAGTTCTGTTCTCCTGCAGAGACTTTTATTACTGCAGCTCTTTAAGCTGCTGCAAATTAAAATCTACTGATCGACACGACAACAAAACCTGTGTGAGGCTGCAGCAAACAGGAAGTTTACTTTAATAAGTACACTTGAGTGTAAGTTTAAGTATATCAAGTATACTAAGCACCATGTTCTTGCAGTGTACTAGAAAGTACACTAATTTAATACTCGCTTTTACTAAATTGTTGCTTTTTGAAAATTTATAAAAAGAATCCATTAAGTATAACAAAAAGTAGTATACTTGAAATTCATTAAGTATATTTGAGTATAGGTTTAAGTATATCAAGTATACTAAGCACCATGTACTTCTAGTGTAAAGTATACTGATTTAATACTTGTTTGTACTAAATTGGGACTTTTTAAAAGTTAATGAAAAATATACATTAAGTATAACAAACAGTAGTATACTTGAAGTTCATTTTAATAAGTATACTTGAGTATAAGTTTAAGTATATCAAGTATACTAAGGACCATTTACTTGTAGTGTACTAGAAAGTACTCATTTAATACTCGCTTTT